GCTACTCACCGTACGTTGGCAACAGTAGCTCTGAGAGCACAGTAACGAGCCACAAACAAGGCACAGTGTTGGCACCGAAGAAGAATGATCTTCTATTTGAATCGACGGACATCTGCAATCGCAATATGAACATCTCTCCGGCAACTGAGCTTTGGGTAAGTGTACTTAAGTAAAATGATAATTTACTGAAGAAAAACTAGAAATTCAAATTCAAACGGAAAATGAGACCTGAACTTAACAGCTTCATTGATTAGTACCGAGAAATCATCAGGGAGCCGCACCAACACTTTTTCCAGAACTGGCTGTCGCACGAAGTTTGTAACAGGAGTATCGCCCTGTGCTGCTCTCCATCTTTGAATTCATAATCAAAATTATTGTCGAAAAAAAAAATTGAAAAATTCGAAGTAAGAAGCTCCAAGCATAAGACAAAAACTTACGAAGCAAAGAGTGTTTCAACGCAAGAATCAGTCAGGAAACCAGCAACACTTGGCGCGAAGCCCAGATAGCGACACAGCGGCTCAAATTCATGAACAGACGGGTCTAAAATTCGCGGAACTGAACCAATTGCAAGAAACGTAAGGAGAGATTCACAAAACGTACAGGGAGAGTGTTTTGTATGAATTTGGGATTGAAATACAACTGAATTAAGTAAATTACCTTTCAAAGCTTCCGGTGGTGGTACAAGTGTGACTGCATGGTAGAGAAGAGATATCGGACGTAGGAATTCTAACACCGCTGTGTACAAAGTCTGCAAACCAAAAACTACCTGCTACTGAGAATGACAACAAAAAGTAATTCGCTGTTAACAAATAACAGTTTGATTAATAAATGAATAAAATCAAAGCGGCAATGGAAGCAATTAGCATTTCTCAGCAATTAGACGGGTCTAAAGTGTATGTGAACAAAAACAAGAAGCAAAAAACGAAAGCCACTAGTAGGTCAGGTGAAAGTCATAAATCGCGAATCCAAGGTAAAAGAGAAAAATGACTAGTATACACACACGCACACACACACACACGCACACACAC